AAAAAAAAAAAAAAAGAATTGTAAAAATAAATTCAAACTATATTTTGCTTGGTAAAATAAAATGCCATTACAAATTCAAAAGAAAACAAACTGGAAAAAATATTTATAACATATTACACAGTTAAAAGACTAATAGCTTTAATATGTAAAGAAGGTTTACAAATTTTAAAAGAAGAGACCAAAACCTTAAAAGTGGGCAAAAGACATAACAATTAATTGTAATAACCCTCAAATATATGAAAATATTTGCAATTTAAGTCATAAAATAAATGTAAGTAAAACTACACTAAGATATTATTTCTCACCTATGGAATCATTAGCAAAAATCAAAAAGCCTGACAACATACTATTAGCCAGACAGTTATATATTGTCACTGAGAATGTAAAATATCACAACCTTTATAAAGCAGAATTTGGCAATTTTAACAAAATTACATAGCATTATCTTTTAACCCAAAAATCCCACTTCTAACAATTTACTCTACATATGGACCTCCAATAATACAAAAATATATATATACAAGCTTATTCATGGCAGTATTTTTGTAATAACAAAATACTGGAAATAACCTAAATGATCATGTATATGGGAGAGTGGCTGAATGAATCATAGTACATTCCACAATTTAATACTACGAATCTGTTTCATTTTGCTATAAAAATGAAAAAAAAAAAGGAGAGCAATCTCTATAAATTTAAAAAAAGGCTAAGGGATGATTTCAGGATGTATTTATAAGTGATAAAAAAGCAAATATAGAATGCTATCTTTTATGTAAGAAAGAAGAGAAAATAATAAGATATACACATATCTGCTCACATTTGTAAAAGGAAACACAGGAATAATAAACAAAAAACCTTAAACTGGTTACCTATAAGGGTAAGAGTGGGTGGGAACTGGCTAGAAGGGATAAGAAAGAGGTGACATGACCAGTAAAATAGCTTTTTATATGGTTTTGTCAAAAAGATAAAGGGAAAAACCTAAAACTGAATACAAATAGAAACAAATGAACCTAATTATATTTCAAATGAATACCATAACCTTTTAAAAATATGCAAACAATATTGAACTCTACTTAGTATGTCTACTTCTGTGATGGAATAGAAGCAGCAACTCCAAAACCACTTTCTATGTATTGCATAGGACTGAAGATGAATAATGAATATAACATATTGTATAATGTCTGGAGACATGCTTTTCATTGTTAAAGAAAAGGGACACAAACACGGAATGAAAAAAATAAGAAAAACCCAATTGTGTGTAACTGGTATCACAGTAAGTTCATGACCTACAGCTAAGCAGAGAAACAGATTATCAATATGTTATGTTTATATGCATATGTGTGTATCTGCAGAAAGAGCCTAAAAGCAATGACTGTCAGGTACAATAAACACATCTAATTCTTATATCTTGGTTTCTAACACTGTTCTTCAATAAAATCAACCAAGGATTCTTAAAGAAATGGCTAATCCCAGGGAAAGGGATGGATATAATAAGAACCGTATGGTATTAAGAAATTAAATATAAATTGAAAAAAAAAAGAGGATATGTCAAAATGACACAGGAATGACTTGATGAAACTCCCCTAGGTAGCCAACTGTGTTACAAATGAGTATATTTGTAAATAAAAGTAAATAAAAGAAAAAAATAAGATCATAAACCATTGAAGGAACCTAGCAGACATCACTTTAACCAACAGAGGAAAGTGAATAGCACCATTAATGGTATCACTGGCTCTTGAGATAACGCACTGAGGAATTAACATCACATCAGAAATATTTCTATCAAAAATATATATCCTGAGTCGAAAATGAAGAAATATCAGAGAAAGCTAAATCAGAGGGAATTCTATAAAATAACTCTACTATATTTCATTAAAACTATAAAAATGTCATGAAAGACAAAAAAAAGCACTCAAATTTGATTTTAAGTTTACAGATTTTTTTAAAATGACAAACACCAGGCCGGGCACAGTGGCTCACATCTGTATCCCCAGCACTTCAGAGGCTGAGGCAGATGAACTGCCTGAGCTGATGAGTTCGAGAACAGCCTGAGCAAAAGCGAGACCCTGTCTCTAAAAAACAGCTAGGCATTACGGCAGGTGCCTGTAATCCCAGGTACCTGGGAGGCTGAGGCAAGAGGATCACTCGAACCTAAGAGTTTGAGGTTGCTATGAGCTAAGATGCCATGGCACTCTACTGAGGGTGACCAAGTAAGACTCTGTCTTAAAAAAGAAATAAAAAATGAAAGACACGAAAATTAAATGAAATAAGCGATCATGATTGATTCTTCATAAAACAAACAAAAATAATATTATTGGGACAATTGGAGAGATCTAAATGAAGCCTATGGATTAGATAATGACATTCAATCAATGTAATTTCCTGATTGAGATCACTATACTGTGATTGTATAAATGAATGCTCTTGTTCTTAGAAAATACACATTGAAGTAACATAAAGGAACATTAAGTATACAGCTTACTCTCAAATGCTTCTTTAAAAATGTGTGTGTGTGCACATGCCTATCTACATGCAGGCATGTATGTGTATATACACTCAGAAAAAGAAAACAACAAAACACAGGAAAAATGTTAACAGTTTGTGAATCTGAATGAAGAGTATATAGAAACTTTTACATTACTCTTAGAACTTTTAAAAAATTACATCCAAATAAAAACTTTAAAAATAAACTCAACTCCCAATTAATAAAAAAGATGTTATGGTAAACAAACATTTGAAATAGGCCTGGAAAAAAGGTAAGAGTTGTAAATACTTATGCCATATATACACACCTGTCTGTTTCCATGTTAGCCTGAGAGTTTAGAGAGTTATCCAACTCATTCTCGCTTTCTCCTGATTGGCTAATAACAGTTCCTTCTTCTTCTTCATCATCTACTTCATTAAGAGCCTATCTCAACACAACAATAAAAATAGCAACATAAGTTGATTATATACAAATTCATGCTTGTTTTATTTGGTCATAAAAAAAGACAGGTTCCATTTTCTGAGGCTAATCCTTCCCTGTGTGTTCTAGAACTCAAACCCTCTCCTGTCTTTCTACTGCATTAATTGTCCTTTTTCTCTCCTGTTATCTTCAACCTCTCCCTGTACTGACTTGAGTACAACATTTAAATGGGTACAATGTCCCTCTCCTCTCTTATCCTGACGCAACGTTGAGCTACTATCTATCTTATCTATCTTCTCTCTCTCCTCCACCACCAAACTTATTTAAAAAATTGTTCCCCATTTTCATTCCCCATCTATGCCCTACAACTTTGTTTCTGCCTTACCATTCCACTCTAACTCCTCTTGATAAGGTCAACATCAACATACTTATTCCTAATCAAATGGATATTTCTGTCTTGAATGCTTCCTTTGCTTCTCTGACTCATTAGATCTTAATGGCCACTTGTTTTCTTCCTTTAAAATTTTCTTGATATATTCTTCCCTTAACTTCCATGATGCCATATTTTCTTAGATTTTCTTCTATTCTTCTCGTTATTCCTTCCCAATCTCCTTTACGGATTCTGCTTTTATTTTTCTTCCTCTTCATCTGATGTGATTCAACATACACCCTTCAAACCTTTTCTCCTCTCATCCGATCCACTTTTTGAAATGATTTTATCTCATTTCACAGTTGCTATTAATTTCAAAATCTCCATCTCTACCCAGATCTCTTTTGAGGCCTAAACATTTATGTGCAATTGTCTAAAAGACAACCCTATGTGTCCAAAACTGAATATCTTCCAAAGTCTCTCCCATTCTTCCAGAAACCTTATTCCTGCCAATATTACCTAAGACCATGAACAGTGTCACTATCCACTCAAATACTCCAGCCAGCAAACTAAGAGTTACCCTTCTTTCTCATCTATCACATCCAATCAGCCACCCAAACTCTACCTTATTGTATCCCTTCTCATATTCTATCTCTGTTCTCCTCTATTTCCTTCCCTACTGGCACTGCTTTGGATCAGGCCCTCATTACTTCTCACTAAGAATCCTACCTAAGTCTTCCAATCAGGCCCTCTCTCCAGTCCATCTTCCATGCCATACTCAATCTCATCATGACTCCACTCTTCTTTAAATTCTTTAGTGGCTCTTCTCTTACTTTCTGGTTCCTTATACTTTCATGACCTAGCTCCTGCTTAAATTATGTCTTGCTATGTCCCCAACCCAATGACAGAGACATGCCTTACTCATCTCATCCCATGTAGCCCAGCATCTAAAGTAGGGCCTGATATATGATATTATACAATGAGTAAGTGAATTTAGTTTCACTCATTCCTATTTCAAATGAATAAAGCAGGGTCCAGAAAACTTAAGCAATACAGCTACAATTTCATTTTCTCTTAGTGACTCAAGACTATCTATAGCAATTCATCAATTTCTTTTCTGATGTGTAGTGGTCCTCTGCTCATCTATTTAGGTGTCTTCTCTCTCCTCCCTCACTGTCATTTCTTGCTACTATTTCTGATTTACTCTGAGAAGCTCACTCCACTATTCTTAATCCATTATCAGCAGTAAATTGAGAAAGAAATTAAAACACTTAGGCCAGCAGTTCTCAAACTGTGGGTCATGACCCACAGGGACTATATTAAAGGGCCACAGCATTAGGAAGGTTGAGAACCACTGACCTAAATGGATTAGTTATAACAGTAACTAATTAATTTGAAACTCTACTACTGTATTAATTTAATAAGCTCAAATATAAGGACGGACTCCCTGTCCAACAGAATAAAATCTGACTGCTTCATTCCATACTGCTAAGATACACTATACACTTGTCTCCAGGTTCCAAAGGATCAAAAGTGCTTAAAGTATGACTGCAAATACTGTAAATAAGGTGCTCACTATAAGATTTAGTTAAGTAAAAGTAAAATCATAAAAGTAAAAGTAATAGAACATACTAAAGCAATAATGTTAATGTTTTACTATTATAATTTTCCCATGTTAACAAGTTAATAAATTCTAAGTTTCCTGGGCAGCTACTTTTTAAACACACTAGTGTAATATGTCAAAAGTGACTAATATTTAGTGAAGAATGATTGTGCTAGGCACTTTACATAACCTATCTCAGTTGATCCATGCAACAACCATATCAGGTATATTCTATTCTCATTTAACAAAAAATACTCTGTGCCAACTCAGGCAACTTAGGAAATCAACTCAAGATCAAACAGCAAGTAAGTAGCATAATATGAGCCCAGATCCACCTGACTCCAAGTAGAAAGGCTCTCTGATGTTTCTGTAATGATTAACTTCTGGCAATTCTGTGGTATATGGCCTAGATTTGAATCCCACCTTTGATGCAAACTATGTGACCTTGGACAAGCCACTTCATTTTTCTAAGCCTCCATTTTCTTCATCTGTCAAATAGGAATAATAACAGCACAAATACTTTCTGGGTAAGCACTCAATAAATTTTAGCTCTAGTAATCCAGCCTTCTTTAGGATAAACATGACAAAAAGTACAATATGTCTGAGTAAGAGCAATTAATATTTAAACTTAAAATGTTCACTGCAATGCCTACATTGACTTAAACTTTACTTCAGCATGAACATTATAGCTGTGAGCTCCATTAAAAAAGATGGAGACTTTACATATTTTGTATAAACTTGGATGGAAGTGGAACACATTATTCCTAGTAAAGCATCACAAGAATGGAAAAACAATGGGGCGGCACCTGTGGCTCAGTGGGTAGGGAGCCAGCCTCACCTATCAAGGGTGGAGGGCTCAAACCTGGCCCCAGCCAAACTGCAAAAAAAAAAAAATAGCCAGGCGTTGTGGCAGGTGCCTGTAGTCCCAGCTACTCGGGAGGCTGAGGCAAGAGAATTGCCTAAGCCCAGGAGCTGAAGGTTGCTGTGAGCTGTTGGCACTCTACCAGGGTGATAAAGTGAGACTCTGTCTCTCCAAAAAAAAAGAATGAAAAGCAAGAATCCTATGTACTTAATTCTGATATGATCTAGTACACGGTGGGGGTAGGGGAAGGGGAGGGCAGCGAGAGGGAAGGAGGGAGGGGGGTGGGGAGTCATAGTGACACACCTTTTGGGGGCAAGACACAATTATAAGAAGGACTTTACCTAACAAATGCAATCCATGTAACCTGGTTCTCTGTACCCTCAATGAATCCCCCAGAATAAAAAAAAAAAATAAAAAGTGAAAAACATTATAGCTGTTATAGCTGAGTCCAGCACATTACCTGAGGTTCTATGGCACATTCATTTAAAAGAGCCTGGGTGACAGGGTCTTCATTTACCACTATGGGACTCTGTGAAGAATCAGGAGCCATTGTTATATTTGGAAACCCTGCAAAAGAAAAATAAGTCATGATGATTTTGTTTCATTTAGTTGACTTCGCAAGCTCTTCATTGACATAGGTTTGCATCAGGATGTGAAAATCCTAAATAATAATACCTCACACTTATATAGTGTTTATTATATGCCAAGTATTGTTTTAAGTACACTTATATATACCAACTCATCTTATCCTTCAAAGTCCAATGGTACTATTATTTATAGATCAGCAAACTGAAACACAGAGAAGTTAAGTCACACTAATAAGCAAGGCCAGAATCCAAACATTATACTAAAAACTAATGATCTGATTTTGAAAGATTAAGATAAATAATGGATTATATGTGTATACACATTAAAATGAATACTGTTGTGTATCTGACAAGAAGTAAAATTCCTTATAGAAAAAGATTGAGGTTGCTAGAGGTTTCAAATTAAGCTTTACTCAAATCATATATAAATACAAGTACCATAATTATATGTTAAATTCATATTTAATATTAAGCTAAAAAGATACATTTTTAAATTACAAAATTCAATACATTACACCATAAAACATTTTATTTTTTTTTAAAGCAGGCAGAGGAACAAAGTTTATTGGGAAGAGAAAGGTAGTTTACAGGGCAACAGCAAGTATATATAGGCTTAACAGAGCAACATACGTTCACCAGACAGCAAACAGGCCTCCATTGCCAGGGCAAATAAGCAAAGAAGCAAAGAGGCCCATAAAATATTTTAGTAGATAATAACAATTTACCTTTCCTTAGCTGAATAATTTGTAACACAAGAACTTATTATTATCCTTAATGGAAAGCAAACAAATTAATAACCAACCTCAGCAACCCTTCCAAATTTACCATAAAATGCTTTAATATAAATAACATGATACCTAAGAAAGAACTTTAAATTCCTTCAAATAGTCAGTTGTGGGCTACAGCTAATGAGGAAAAGCTTTGTTTGAACTGAATACTTTACCTGTACGTCTACGAGGAACATCAACAAACAGATCTTTTGCTGCAGCCATCAAATGATCAGATTTCTCCAACACATCCTGCATTTGGTATTGATCAGAAAGAATCTGGATACATATTAATGATAAATATTAATATTCAGAAAAAAATACATTTGCTTTTCAAATCACAAAGGAAAGACCATACAAAGGCATGGAGCATAAAAATAACCACAGGCCACTATCTTCCTAAAATCCTTCAGTGGCAATATCTGTAAGTACCAGTAGATGGGGCTATTACAATAATTAGTGCCTTTTCAAATGCTTGGCTGCAATCCAAAATAAGAAATACGTATCAAATTATGAACAGATACACTCACATACATACAAACATATATATATTTATATAAATATAAAGTTTTTTAACCTTGCTTCATGAAAACAGTACAATATTTTCTTTTTAATTTCCATTCTAGTTTTTAAATGAGGGTTGCAACCCACTAACTAGATTTCATAATCCATTAATAAATTAGGATCCAGAGTTTGAAAAACACAGATCGAAGATCAATCTTTGAGACATAAACTCAGGAGGTATTTCAACCACTAAAGTGATTTCATAACTACTACTGAGTCATGACCCACAACTTAAAAAACATGACATATGATGTAAGTTAGGATTTAAGACCTGAGTTGTAGGATTAAACAAAAATGTGATGCTCCTGTGTTTATAAACAAGTCATTTTTTTATCCTGGAGAGATGGGAACTCAAAAAATAACCATTATTGTAGTGCCTCTGATTATATACTTTCAATTTAGGAACTTTCAAATAATTATAAACCAGGCCACAGGCTAGATAGAGTAAAAAGCAAGCTAACTCTATCCACCATCACCAGATGACATTCTTAAGTTGAAGTCTCTGACTCAAATCAATAAAACATCTGGTTACAAATACTCTAACAAAATGTCTTCTATCCCATGTAACAAGTTTATAATGTGCCCACAATTATTCTTTTAGGACACAAAGAATAATAACAAGAATCACATTCTTATTTTTTCCCCTTCTTCCTCTCCTATGGCTCAATTGGTAAGCATAAAGTCCTAAGTTTGTTCCTTCCACAAAAAAGTAAGCTTTGGAACAGTATAAGGCTGGAGTACATCTGAAGGCAGAAGACTAGGGAGCTTTGGAATAGTATAAGGTTGGAGTGCATCCAAAGCCAGAAGACTAGGGAGCTTTGGAATAGTATAAGGTTGGAGTACATCTAAAGCCAGAAGACTGGGGTTTTAGGCCCAGTCCAGTGATGATAAGCAAAATCCAATCTCTTTAAATTTAATCCCTTCCTGATGTATAAATGGAGCTAGAACCATCTCCCAACTCTACAGAGGTGCCTTTTATTGACTCAGAAAGTCTACTTCTAAGAATTCATCCTATAAATATATATATATACTCAAAAATACATTCAAGGATATTCATTATATTATTTTTAGTGGCAGGACAGGAAACAATCTATGGGTGGCAGACTGTGCTACTTATCCACCAATATTCTTTTTCTCCCTGTTTTTCCTTTTAAGAGCAGAACTCTCAAGTTTTAGCCAAGTACATAGCTGCATTTCCTATATATCTCTGCAGGTGGAAAGGGCCAGGTGATGACTTTCTGGCCAATAGGATATAGCTAGAACTTTAGGATAATATGTAAAAGGAGTGGCACACATTGTCTTTCCTATTTCCTGGTGACTGGCATACAACCAAAGGATGCTGTCACAGCTATTTTGTACTCAGAGATAGAAACCATGTAATGAAAAACTGCATAGCTCCCTGCCCGTTACCTCTTACCTCTCAACTGCTTCATCAGATAGAAGTAAAATTTTTATTTGTTTAAACCACTATATATTGGGATCTTTTTTATTTCCAGAAGCTTAAACTATAATATACAATCTAAGCGCTCACCAATAAAGTAGTGGATAAATTGTGATACATCTGTACACTACTGGCCATTAAAAAGAAAAGGTAGATTTCTAAGTCCTAAAATGAAATAACTTCCAAGACATTACATATTGTTCAAGAGAAGTACCAAAATTTCCCCAACAGGGGAGGTACTCAACCCCTGCGCACATTATAATTACATAGGTACGGTCTTAAAAATACCCATGTAGGGCCACACACCAGGTCAACTACATATGAATCTCTGAGCACAGGGTCCAAATATCATAGCTGTTTTTATTTTTAACGAAGCCTTTCAACCCTGACTGATTCTAACATGCAATCAGGGTTGAGAACAAGCTACACTTGCACCTAAGGAAACAGCACTATAAAAAGAAGGCAGAGAAACGTTATCCATCCTCCTTCACCACTCTTCTTTCAACACCTCCTTTCAACACATCTATTACTTGTGTCATAAACTGAGGACACAAGCAGGAGCCACTAGAACAGGGAAACAAAAGCCCAGAGAGGCCAGGTGCAGTGGCTCCTACCTGAGATCCCAACACTTTGAGAGGCAGGAGGATCACTTGAGGGCAGGAGTTTGAGACCAGCCTGGGCAACAGAGTGAGACCCCCATTCTCTACAAAAAATTTAAACAAAAATTAGCCAGCATGGTGGCATACACCTTGGAGTCTTAGCCACCCAGGTAGCTGAAATAGGAAGATCACTGGGGCCTAGGAGTTCAAGGTTGCAATAAGCTACAATCACTCACTGAACTCCCCCACCTGACAACATGGCAAGACTCTCCTTTAAAAAAAAAGAAACACACACACACATGTACACAAAAGCCCTGAATCCAACACTGCACCACAAAGAGGCTTCTTTTTTTCCTAGTCAGATCTATATTTTCAGGCCTTTCACTGAGAATTACTGTACAACATTTAAATGTACTAAGAAGCATTCTTTCTTGATCAATTCATTGTTCTTTTCTCAAGCTCTTATAAAAATTTGAGAGATATCAATCCTCCTGATGATGTACATAAAAGAAGCCTAATGAATTCCTCAAAAGAGAGTATAATTTAAAGCAGCCATGAAATGTCACCCAGACAGCCAAGTACCATAAGCTTCAACCTCAACAAGGAACAACACTACAGATAAAACATATTCCTTTATAATGATCTCATCTCAAATACAGCAAAATAATCACTGTAATTTCCCCTTTTTTCCCATATGATTTATCCCTACATATCAGATTACTTATTCAAATACCTTATAATATCTGGCAAAAGGTTAGGCCAAAGACAAGTGGCTTACTACCCATTTGGACAAGCACATATTTTTTTTACAAAATAATTTAATAGCACTGCTGCTAAAGCAGTGGTTCTCAACCTTCCTAATGCCACAGCCCTTTAATATAGTTCCTGTGGGTCAAGACCCACAAGGTGAGAACTGCTGTGCTAAAGTGAGAAAAATAATGAAAGTAGCTTCTACATATAAGGCACTAATTATATGCCAAAGGCTATACTAATCACTTTACAAGTATTGTATTATTGAAATCTCATAACAATGCAATCATCCAAATAATGCTATTACATTTTAAATATGAGGAAATTCAGGCTGAGAAGTTAAATAATTGGTTAAGATCACATAGCTAGTAAGTTGTGGAGCAGGAATTTAAACCACCAAACTAGACTTTGATCATCACTTTGCTGCTATTTTTGAAGTCCACATGTAGATCATTGTATAAAGATAGAGTAATTACTAGAATCTCTCCAATGTGAATCTAATTCAGGGGGAAAAAAAGAATCCTATTTATCTCATCTTTTCTAATTCTAAAGATAATGCAGTTACCTCCTTCATGATAGCTAGTCTTCTTTTTTCAAGATTCAAAGCTTCTGGTTTCTGTTTCCTCCATTTTCTCTTCAGAGCTTTTTCTTGCAATTCCCAGTGTACTAATGCTCTATTCTTTGATTTGTGGATTTCATGACGACGTACCTACAGAGAAAGAAAAAAACATAAAGGAAAGTTTCAGGAACAAAGAAGTTGCCTATTCAGATGGTGGGACCACCTAATCTAGTTCATCATTTTTTTATTTTTTTCTAGTACAACATAGCCAAAATTTTACAGTCCTCTAAATTTTCAAAAATGATCTTAAAAAAAAAAAAAAAGAAGTTATCGAGAACCAATAGACCCAGCTAAAAGACATACTGAAAATAATATTAATTTCTATTTCCTATATACAAGACTATGGTGTTTTTCACATCACAGACTCATTTAATGTGTGGTAAAATCAATGGAGGTCAGTGGGTCAAAACCAACGTGTTTTAAACATACATACATATACACACACTGACTGAGCACAACGTAAAAGGCATAAAACACTGAGTCATCTCTGGCAAAGACACTCTCATATCATGATAACTACATCAATACCAAGAACAAATAATGCAGTACTTTTATAGACCTCCCAAGATTTCATGTGAAAGTGGGTCAGTGAAGATACAGAAATCCAGGGAAGTAGAGTGCCTAGAGCAGAAGAAGAGATATAAGCCAGGTCTTAAGAATTAGAAGGGAGGAGGATACTGAAGTAGCTAAAGAATAAAAGCAGATATTTGGTTTTGCAAGTACTCTAGTATTCAGAACTATGAATATGAATATATACTATTGAATAAAAATATACTGCTGAGTTTCCACCATGTAAATAAGAAATCTCCATTAAGAGACTAACAACCAGGCTCGGCGCCTATAGCTCAACTGGCTAAGGCGCCAGCCACGTACACCTAAGGTGGCGGGTTCGAATCCCCAGCCCGGACCCGCCAAACAACAATGACAGCTGCAACCAAAAAAAAAAAAAATAGCCGGGCGTTGTGGCGGGCGCCTGTGGTCCCAGCTACTTGGGAGGCGGAGGCAGGAGACTCTCTTGAGCCCAGGAGTTGGAGGTTGCTGTGAGCTATAATGCCACAGCACTCTACCCAGGGGGACAGCTTGAGGCTCTGTCTCAAAAAAAAAAAAAAAAAACAGACTAAAAACAAAATACTAGGCAAAGATTCTGATGCACAAAATACAAATGAAGATGACATTTTTGAGACAATTGAGAAAATCTGAATAGGGGCTGGGTATTAACACAAAAAAATTACTTTTACTTTTATTGGGTATGATAATGATATTGCAATTATGTTTTTTAAAAGTTTATAATTTTTAAAGTTGAACTCAGTAACAACAGGAATCTGCATACTGATACAAAAACATGGAAGCTAAATAACCTTTTGCTGAATGATAGCTGGGTCATAGATGAAATTAAGAAGAAAATCACCAAATTTTTGGAACAAAACAATAATGAAGACACGAATTATCAGAACCTCTGGGAGACCACAAAGGCAGTCCTAAAAGGGAAATTTATAGCACTGCAAGCCTTCCTCAAGAGAACAGAAAGAGAGGAAGTTAACAACTTAATGGGACATCTCAAGCAACTGGAAAAGGAAGAACATTCCAATCCCAAACCCAGCAGAAGAAAAGAAATAACCAAAATTAGAGCAGAATTAAATGAAATTGAAAACAAAAGAATTATACAACAGATCAATAAATAAAAAAGTTGATTTTTTTGAAAAGGTCAATAAAATAGATAAACCTTTGGCTAACCTAACCAAGAAAAAAAGAGTAAAATCTCTAATTTCATTGATCAGAAATGGTAATGATGAAATAACAATAGACTCCTCAGAAATTCAAAAAATCGTTAATGATATTACAAGAAACTGTATTCTCAGAAATATGAAAATCTGAAGGAAACTGACCAATACTTGGAAGCACGCCACCTTCCAAGACTCAGCCAGAATGAAGTGGAAATATTTAACAGGCCTATATCAAGTTCTGAAATAGCATCAACTATACAAAATCTCCTTAAAAAGAAAAGCCCGGGACCAGATGGCTTCACATCAGAATTCTACCAAACCTTTAAAGAGAAACTAGTACCTATATTACTCAACCTTTTCCAAAATATAGAAAAAGAAGGAATATTACCCAACACATTCTATGAAGCAAACATCACCTTGATCCCTAAGCCAGGAAAAGACCCAACAAGAAAAGAAAATTATAGACCAATATCACTAATGAATACTGATGTGAAAATATTCAACAAGATCCTAACCAACAGAATCCAGCAACACATCAAACAAATTATACAACATGACCACATGGGTTTTATCCCAGGGTCTCAAGGCTGGTTCAATATTCGTAAATCTATAAATACAATTCATCACATAAACAAATTAAAAAACAAAGACTATATGATTCTCTCAATTGATGCAGAAAAAGCATTGATAATATTCAGCATCCCTTCATGATCAGAACACTTAAGAAAATTGGTATAGAAGGGACATTTCTTAAACTGATAGAAGCCATCTACAACAAACCCACAGCCAATATTGTATTGAATGAGGTTAAATTGAAATCTTTCCACTCAGATCAGGAACTAGGCAAGGTTGCCCATTGTCCCCACTGCTTTTTAACATTGTAATGGAAGTCTTAGCCATTGCAATTAGGCAAGAGAAGGTGATCAGGGGTATCCATATAGGGTCAGAAGAGATCAAACTTTCACTCTTCACAGATGATATGATTGTATATCTGGAAAACATCAGGGATTCTACTACAAAACTCTTAGAAGTGATCAAGGAATCACTCACATGAATGTTCTTCCTTTTCCCGTTGCTTGAGATGTGACCAACGTCTCAGGTTACAAAATCAAAACTCATAAATCTGTAGCCTTTATATATACCAACAATACTCAAGCTGAAAAAACAGTCAAGGACTCTATTCTGTTGACAGTAGTGCCAAAGAAGATGAAATATTTGGGAGTTTACCTAACAAAGGAAGTGAAAGATTTCTATAAAGAGAACTATGAAACTTTAAGAAAAGAAACAGCTGAAGATGTTAACAAATGGAAAAACATACCATGCTCATGGCTGGGAAGAATCAACATTGTTAAAATGTCCATACTACCCAAAGCAATAAACAATGTTAATGCAATCCTATTAAAGCTCCACTCTCATACTTTAAAGATCTCAAAAAAATAATACTTCATTTTATATGGAATCAGAAAAAACCTCGAATAGCCAAGACATTACATAGAAATAAAAACAAAGCAGGAGCAACTACGCTACCAGACCTCAGACTATACTATAAATCGATAGTGATCAAAACAGCATGGTACTGGCACAAAAACAGAGAGGTAGATCTATGGAAAAGAATAGAGAACCAAGAGATGAACCCAGCTACTTATCATTATTTGATTTTTGACAAGCCAATTAAAAACATTGAGTGGGGAAAAGATTCTCTATTTAACAAATGGTGCTGGGT